GGTATGTTCTCACTCGAATATTTCAGCCTTAAAATGGACAAATTTTTAAACTTTAAGTAAATTTTAAGTATGAAAAGCAAGTTGCAGTCTCAGAACTGAAAGCATTATATTGCATCCTATAATTAGCATACGTGATGCATCCCTAAACCTGGATCTATATACTGTTTTTTCCAAGCAAAGAGATGAATGATGAGAATTAGTTGTATGAATGACTTGCTCAGAAATAAGCCAAGCATCATAAGCCAAACACAGACTCAGCAACATTCATACAAATAAGACTTAGAATAGTTTTAATCATGGGAGAGAGGAGGAAAGCCAACTTCATCCAGACCGTAAAATAAAGCTTCAAAGTAGGAACTGAACAGGAGCAAAAAAAGCCTTCAATAATAACTTAAACCAGCCACATTACTGGCCTAGTTGAATATTATGGGATGTGTGCTCCTTAATTTTCTAAGTTGCTGAAGCCAAAGCTTGTATGAATTTTAAACCTAGTTCATTCAAATACGTAAGTCCATCTAGCTAAAAACTGATTACACACTAACACCGTCTGCATCACTCAAACATCTGCATCACTGCTCCCACAGTACAGACAGCTTGAGAGGACAGGCAATATGCAGGATTTAACAGAGGTACAGTAAGGTGTCCCATACACTTAATTCTGGTTACATTTTACCAAATCTGGAATAACTGAAAAGGAAGGTATTTTATGCCAAACTGTACAAAGATGCAGCTTGAAGAAAGGACATGAAGGTACCCAAAGCTCTCCTCATCCCTTCCTGCTTCTAGGGGAAACCCAACATCTTTCCAAGAGATCTCAGCCTGCACTATAAAATATCCCAATGGAAGCGCCAGTGGTGACTAGCACTTAATGCTGCACAACACTGTGTTGCCCAGCTATGCCTCCATTGCTTCCAGCCTTGATCACCTGGGCCAGGAAAAGTAGGGAGTTTTGCACACTCTTTTCCAGAGCACAGAGGTCAGCACTGGGATTAAACTCTCCCAACAAAGGAGACCCAAATGTCTCCTTAAATGTTCTGTATGTTCAACAAATCTTTAAGATTTGTGAGGCCTGAAAACTTCAGTCTTTGTACACAGTACTCATTCTTTGGTTTCCAAAGCAGCTTCAAAATCACCTCAAATAGAACTGAGACCAAATATAAGCTACCACACAAAGTTCATGCATTTAACCACACCACTTTCCAGCCTGATCAGTAAAACAGATAGGCAGAGCTAACTGCATGCTTCAGTCACTGAAACCTATTTCAGTTGTTGTCTTCTCATCTTCAGCAAAATCAAGACTCTCATGCTCCTCATCACCCAACATTTTACTCTTTGCTGTCATGTCAAACCTACAGCTGCACACTTTCCTGGCAAGTGTGAATCCCACTTTGATGACTGATTCACAGACCAGACTAAGACACACTTACATGAAATAATCTACTAGCGACTTAAAACCAGCCTGCTGTTCCCAGCTGCTTGCTCCTCCACACCAACATCCCTCCAGAGGCTGTGGCCCCAGCATTTATTATTAATTACAATAACATGCTCCAATGCAGATTCATGGAAATATCTAAGTTTAAAAATATTACTACTTTCTTAATGTTTATTTTGTTTTTGTTGTTGTTTCTCTATTAACCCACCAGAAGCTTAAGTAGAACATTTACTCTTACAGACACAAAAGACTGCCAATTCAGTCGTATCTCAGTGATTTTAAAGGCATTTATTTGCCTCAGTAATTTGGTGACAAATAGTAAAAATAACTATCAACATCTAAATAAGACCAGGGCACAGCTCAGCAGAACTCAGATTAGAATTTGTGAAGACATCTGATACAGAGGAGTTCCACTACGCTGGACAAGTACCCAGAAGCTAAGACAAATTACATATTGTTTTTCATTAAGAAACAAAGTTTCTTGGCCAAAACAAACATTCTTCCCCATGTGGTTTACGTACTGAGATGAAACAACAAACACTCAGATGCAGAAGCGCAAGACAGAAAACAGAATCTGTACAGGTAAGAGCTCCATATGGTTGCGAGGGATTGAGCAGTGGATTCTGGGGGGACGAGAAATTAGTGTGAATGGTAACACAGATTCCCTTGGTAGCTGCTGTTTGATAGAATTATAGAATGGCCCAGGTTGAAAAGGATGAACATCTAGTTTCAACCCCCTGCTATGTGCAGGGTCGCCAACCACCAGGACCAGGCTACCCAGAGCCACATGCAGCCTGGCCTTGAATGCCTCCAGGGATGGGGGATCCACAGCCTCCTAGGGCAACCTGTGTGTCCATCCGGGTTCCAGTGTGTCACCATCCTCTGACATTAGCATTAAATACATAAGCAAACTGTCCTGCCTTGGCACACCTAACTTCCGTACCTTTACAAAGATTAACTAATTGTTTGGCCATCCTTTGACATCCTTATTGCAGAAGAACTGATGCTGGCAAAGAATTATAGAACTTGAAATGGTCACATCTTCCCCCTATACCACATTAAAGGAAGCAACCCAACAAAACTCAAGAAGAAAATGACACAGTTGAACACCTCAGCTTGAGCATATCCCACTTCTTCAAAACTTGGCTAAAAGGAATTGTGGCAGCTGTGCTGTAAGCACACTGATGTGGTGAGGCATGGTTAGAAATCAGCAGCTCTCCTCCAGAACTACTTCCCTCTTAGCAGGGATGCAGACAGAACAAGTTACAGCAGAAGCAATTCCACTAACACAGCAGAAAGGACTTCTGACCATGTGAACATTTTGACTGAACAGATAAATATTATTGTAAGACATACACCTAACATTTGGACATCCTTATAGTTTTCGCAATTCTGAAAATGGCTAGAGTTCCAGAAAAGTCATATTAACCCACTCACACAGATTAAGATGCTCTTGCATTGCAAACACAACATTTTCAGGTTTCCTCAAGAAACTTTAACAATCCCCAACTTCTTAACTTGCTTGACCTTGGAGAATACATACTGAGAAGACCATGAAGAGAACTGTTTTAAGGGACCTTTTCTCTGTCAAAATCTACTAAAAATATGCACTTCAAGTGGATATTAGCTATTTACAGCAACAGAAAATAGAGCTTTGCCCTGAGACCTTGCCTATGATTTTACGCTAAGATTTCATTCCTGTACAGAAAGTACTGTAATCAATTTTTTGTCCATCCAAATGTAAGAGGTGAACAAATTTAATGCAACTGAATTTATAATTCACATCTTAGCACAAAACACAGTAACTGCAGCACATGGCCATGCATACAAGGAAAGTCATTAGAGCTGAACCTAATTTTAAGATTGTAATTTGAGTTGTCTGCAAAAGGTTGAATGATGCTTAACTAATAGAATTGTAAACATTTATAACAATTTCTCTTTCCATTTTTGGTTAATTCAGGGTCTAGACTTTAAAGATTACAATCAAGTCAATGTTTTAGATCCACGTGTAAGGAATGTGTTTCCTTAACTTTGTACTTACACTGTAGAAGTAGCAGAAAACATACAGGCAAGTTTTCCAACATGAATGCTGATAAACAGATGTTATTTAATTTCCTCCTTAGTTCCAAGATAATCATGAACGATTACCCATGTTTACCTTCCAAATTAACCAGCTGCTGTAACTATCATTTCCCCAAAGTTTTGATAATTCATTCCATTTAGTTCTCCCAAAAAACAAACAAACAAAAAACACTAAACCATACAGAAATCACCAGAAATTAGCATTCCAGCTGTGACAAAAGTCTCCAAAGGATCTGATGATATTCCTTGCTGCTAAAACAAGATTAGAATGTTAACGAGAAGTTCTCACCCCCTTTAAATCACCATTTTATAAAGAAAATTTCTTATCATATAGCAGGCATCATTCATGTGAAACTCCACAAACACCAAGAGATCCACTGCCAAATTCCAACCACGATCAGAGCAATAATGTGAAACAAGAAAAAAACACCAAAAAAACCAAAGATATCCCAGCTTCAAAAAGAAACCCTACAGGTTTATGCATTTTACATTCTTTCTCTGTACCGAGAAACAGGTAAGTAATGACCAATAAATTAGACTAAAAATCAACACAAAGTTGCACTGGTTCTATCTCGGGAGACCTTTCTTTCTTTATTTATTAAATCCATCTCAATTAGTAAAAAAACCAGCACACTGTGGAACGCGCACACTACACAGAACCACTTAAATCATTGCTCCAGGCAAAGTTATGCATAAAGCAGCTATTTATCACCCATTAAAAATGAAAAGTGGTCAGAGCTTCATCTCAATCCCATTATCATCTTGAAAGGTAGGAAATGAAAAACAAATTAATCCAGCATCTAAGCCTTGTGTATACAAAAGTGATAGCTGACCTTCAAAAGAAAGATTTCCCATAGCACATAATTACTGAAGAATGCAGATAACTGATGGGCAAAATCTTATTTCACAAGCTCTGTTTCACTTCCCAAGTAAAAGGGACTCGAGGCAGAAAGCCATCAGCTACCTGTTCAGATCAGCCCTAAGAGAGGAGAGTAATCTTAGTTTTATTTAAAACAAGGCTATGATTTCCTTTTTCATTATGACTCAAATAGCATTGAAAGAATCAATATTTCAGAGGTGAGATCAAAAATAAACTAGATGGATATTAGCAAACACTATAATGCAAGCTAAATGAGGCTTTGAACATTTCATTAGGCAAGAAATGTTTAAAGTATTTATTTCTCATCATCATATCTTTTCTATTTCATACAACGTAGAACTTTAGTCTGCCTCATTAAAAGTAAAGCATGAAGTTTGCAAAGAAGATATTTCTTCTTGAAACACCAGTTCTCAAGTGAACTTTGTTTTCACTCAGATTAAATTTTATTTCCTGAACAGCATTTATACTCGTAATCAGATTCATTGTTAAATAACACTGAAGGAAACTGGTCTCTGCTCTTAAAGCTAATTTCACCTAAGTGCTATACATACAGGAAATTGCACTCTCCATTTATATATAGTTTTTAATACAATACATATTGCTTACCCTTCTAACCGGACATCGGGTAAAGATCTGTTGAGTGCAATCATTTCACTTGCCATTAAGTTAAACTGGTTTATTTTAAACATTTCTTTCATTTTTTCTTGCTCCTCTTTTGGAATGACCACAGGCTTCCCCATCTCTCCCGGTCCTTCATGTGGCTTTTGTATGGGTTCTGGAACTAAAAACAAATAAAATGTTAGTAAGTATTTCTACGTTTATTTATATTTTATTTTACACAGTAGACTGTTCTTGCTTTAAAACGGAGTTCTAAAAACACCAGGTTTTGTAATAAAAACAAATCTTTGTACTGGGATTTTAATGGAAGTAGTTAAACGCTGCTCTCAGAATTACCATTCATGTGAAAAAAATATTATCATCATGCTCTGGAACAACAGATATTTATGCAACTGAGTATTCAATCTTAACAGAAACTATTGTTTAAAACAAAGAAAATTGAATTTCAATTATCTGACCAAACTGATAAGAGAGAAAAAGGAGAAGAGATTAAAAGACTTCTTACATTTTTAATTTCTTTTAAATAAAAACATTTAATAAGGCTATTGGTTAAAAGTTCTTTACAAGCATTCATTCACTTTTCTCCTGAACTGTTATAACGTTCAAATATTGAATTTGGGTTATATTCCTACAAACTTAGTACAAACTTTAATGAAAAAAAAAAAAAACAAAAACAAAAACTAATTTAAGTCCTAAACAGAAGAGCAGAAAAATATTTCCATAATTAAGTCACTCTTAAAAAAATAAAATGTCCAAGACTTCCATCCTTGATGAAACACTAAAGACATAACATATAAACACACTAATACTTGAAATACATACATACATACATATATGCGCACACACACCAGTAAGTGAAACGAGTTGCTGGTTTGCATTTAGCATTAACCAGTTACAGCCATAATATGCTCCATACGAGGTATTTTCTTTTTCAAATATCTCAAGCAACTGCACTAAAGCAATAGCAGTTAGCAGAGAAAATCCTCCAACCACAATGGTGTTTTCTTTATACCACGTTCCCTATGACTGCAAGCTGAGCTATATAACACTAGAAGCTGCCAGCTTCTAGTACTCCAGTACTCCAAAAAGTAAAAGAATCAGTAGGTCCAAGCGTATCCTAAGCAGGCTGGATTTAGGCACATGCTTTAACCATGCTCTAAATCAAGTCACCTGTTTTGCCTCCGTACTTAAGAAAGTACAGCTTGAACTTCATTGGTACAAAAGCATCTAAACTTGCTGATATGCAACTGTGTGTAAGCTCTTGAACTAGAATTTGTGCATTCTTAGATGGTAATTAAGATAAAATAATAACATAAAATTAGGCAATTATTTAGGCTTAATAAAAACAATGTGAGTTATGTTATCATCACTGCATATTAAATTTACAGCACTCAGTTATTTTCTGTTCAGATGAATCTATATGATTGTTTAATAGACTCAAAATCTATTAGAATATTGTTATATAAGAATGTTTTAGAGCATTAACAGTCTTTCAACGTACCCAAGAGTTAATTCCTTATCCTAGAATAATTCTGATTTAGAATAAAAAAAAAATTCTGCTTTATTTACACATTCACTTTTCTCATAACTTAGCTAAACCAGCTCACCTGAACAAGTAGATTAACTAAGAATTGAGATGCTAGTTTAACACTTCTATGACCTGAATCCAGGCGTACAAATTTCACAAATTCATTAGAACAACACTTAGGCTTCATTAGCAAACACATAATACTTGATTTCAAGCTTTACATAAATGAGATATTCTCTCCTATCTCCTATAGAAAAAGCCAGCAGCCATTAAACAAACCCACAGGCATTTTATAGATCATAGTAAATACAAAGACAGGCCAACTTGGTGTGCAAGCATAGGGATAACTTTCCAAGAAGATTTAGCTATTGGCTCTCAGGTTTCTGCATTTAGTCACCTGTTTTCTCACAAAAGAACAAAGTTCTCAGAAATACAAACAAAAACCATTCTTGCACAGTGACTAACATACACACTGTTAAAAGAAAGCCCAACTACAGCGCTCATTTGTGCACTAGCTATGGAAAAATAAATCTTTCCTTCGAAGGAATGCTGACAAGCACTGATGACATAATAAACTGGCTGTTAGGTTGTACTTACAAGTTTCAGCCATAGTGAAGGGGATGAGTAAAAGCTTAAACCTGTGACTAAATCACTAACTCATGTAATCCCTGCCATGGTTCCCAACTCTCTGTCCTCCCGTGTCACTTTAGCTCCCGAGACCTGTATACCCCAAAGACCATTCCAGTTCCCCTTTGCACCAGCACCTCCATCCAGTCCCCTTATGGTCTTTCTCTTCCCACCTCACCTTTTTTTCCCCTTGTCTCCATACAGGCACCACGTCAACCAGTAGCCTTCCATGCTGCCTGCACCACTTCCTATCAGACATGAAGCCCCCTATCATGCCCACTTCAGAGTTCCCTATAACCATCTCCTCTGACTTTCCCCAGGTTTGCCAGCAATCATCGCGGAGCCCAAGACTATCCGACAGCCCTACAGGCACATTCTCAATTGCCCTCTGTCTCTGGCAGACTGAAAAAGACCACTTGAGCAGTCAGGCATTGGAATGGCTGCCCAGGGAGGTGGTGGAGTCACCATCCCTGGCTGTGTTCGAGAGGCGTCTGAATGAGGAGCTGCGAGAGATGTTTTAGTAGCTTGTGGTAGCAGTGGTGATGGGAAAACAGTTGGACTAGGTGATCTTGTAGGCCCTTTCCAACCTTGTGATTCTGGGATTCTACTATTCTGTGAAAAGCAAAACAGGCAAGGCCTTCTCACTAATGAGCCTCAATTCAGCTGTTCCTCTCAACAGTAAGAACTGCAGTTAGCGAAGAAGATTTTCACCTGCACTTACTGCTTCATATTTAGTGCAGTTTGCAAAATATAACAGTGGTATAAATACAATCTAATATTAAACACAGCAGGTGAAGCTCCTAATTTAAGGTCTTAATATCTTATGCCATCAATACTGAGGTGGAAGATTTTTCCTCCAAGGCAACTTAGAGCATGGCTTTAACTCCCATTCAGGAAAATAAACTCCTTCCATTTTCTGTATTAGAAAGCTGACCTGGTACTAGACCAGGTTGCCCAGGGCCTTGAACACCTCCAGGAACGGAGCATCCACAGCTTCTCTGGTCAGCCTGTTCCAGCATCTCACCTCTCACTCTGTGAAGAACCTCCCCTTACATCCAATCTAAATCTTTCCTCCTTAAGCTTAAAACCCTTCTCTCTGCTGAAACACATATTGAATGTTTAAAACAAACACAATTTTTAACTACCATATTTTAAAAATTACTTCATCAGATAACTTACCATCTCCAGCAGGCAGCCCTCGTTCTTTCTTCTCATCACATTTGTTGCATTCACTGAAGTAGAGCAATAGAAACATGTCCAGAAGGACCCAAACCAAAGAGGTGGCAAGGACCACCTTGCAATATGCAAATTTTTTCATGGCACTTTAAGTCAAATACAAAAATAAAAAAAAGTATAAATAAAAATATCAACAGGTTGTATTAATCCAGTTTGAGAGGCCACGTTCTGTGTCTGTAAAAGAAAAAAGAAAGAAGTCACAAAAAGTTACCTGAGGACAGCAGCAAAAAGCAGAAGATTTTACTATGTTTTAAAGGTAATCTAAGTTAATTCTTAGATATTGCATGTATCAAAATGAATGTTCTGGGACAATTAAAGCAATAATACTGCAGTCTTTTACTACAGCAACACTCATCAACACTCATCACACAAAATATTAAAATGATAACCAAAACACAGTACTCTGCTGAGTCACTAGAAAAGAGTTTAAGCATCTTAAAAACAAAACAAAAATTAAAGGAACCCTCTGGATCCTCAGGAAATCAGAACAATCTACATGACTGAAAAACAGGAACATCTTAAGAAGCAGTGCAACAATCAGGGCTGACCAAAGCCACAGGCCAACACTGCTCATGCTTCTCCTTTCACACCTTAATTGTAAATGCAAATACCTCAGGCAAAACAAAATAAACCACCTTTTTGATAAAATAAACTAAAATAAAGCAAAGTCAATAAAGTACACAGAAGTCATTTATTAGGTAAAGCTAAACACTTCAGTGGACACAAAATTATTTTAAAGTTCAATTACAGACCAAACTTCTATGTATTTTTCAACATGCATATATTAAAATTTTATTTTATCCTACTCAAACTACAAGCAAAATTTGTCACAAAAACTGCTATTTTCATGACTGACAGTTTTTTTTTTGTTGTTGTTGTTGTTTTGTTTTTTTTTTTTTAAGGAGACTGGGAAGACATTGATACTTTACACAAAAAACTGCAAAAGTATCTGTAATTAACAACTTGGTGATAAAATAAGAGATGAGATAACCACCAGAAGACACTGAATTACATATGTTAAGAAGAAACCGCAACCATAAGGTGGATTTTTTTTTTCCCCACAGATACAAAGACGACCCTGAACTCTGGATTGCAGAGTTGCACCAGAAAGTGTTATGCAACTATCAGTGTGGTTATCAGCAACAGTGAAAGAAAACATTGTTATGTATTAGTAAGATGAGAAGAGAAACAAAAAAAAAAAAAGATAAATCACCACTTTGCCATTACACAATACCTGCTTTCTCACCTTGAGTAGGCATGAACATCCTATCTTGCCAAATCAAAAAGAATAAAGAAGGATTAGAAAAGACAAATGGTAAGAGCAAAGAGATGCAGGCTACAAGGAACAGCAGCATTACAAGATGTAAGGGATCAGACCAGTATTCTTCCAGGCTGGAAAAGAGGTAACCCAAACTAGGTAGCAGGTCTGTAAAAATCAACAGTTGCATGGGAATGGTAAACACCAACTCCTGTCTGTTTCTTTACTACTAGGAGGAAGAATAGACAAGTGACTTTAGCAGCAAAGGCCTGAACAACAAAAAGAAGGTATGCAGCAGAACTCCCTGTCACAGCTTAGTGCCAGCACTGCAAGCCTATTCATCAGCTACTAAATACAAAGTCTTCAATCAGGCACTCTCTCTCTTCCAAATCAATGCATGTGTTAGGAGAGAAGTGAGGAAATATCATTACAAGTTCCCCTATTCTCCTCCCTACACAAACACTATCAACGCTTTCAGAAACAAAATATTGTACAAACAAATCTGTCAGACATATTATGACTACTTAAACAGTCTATAGAATAGTCGTCGTCTTTTGCTCTGGTCTGGGACACCACAGAAATGGTCTGGAAGGAAAATAAAGTTTCACCGCTACCCTAAATTAAGAAAACAAATGCTAGTTGAAACAAAAATGCTTTAAAGAAAAGAAAATAAATTATCAGTCTCAGACTATGAAAAGATATTCAGCTACGAAATAAAGCATAAAACACACAGGAGCCCGGGGTTTGTGCGTTCTCAAATTAGCAAGACATCAGGAATAGGACTCTATCTAGACATTCTGTCCATTCTGTCCAATCAGATAAGGTATTTTACAAAGCTTAAAATGGCATTATATCTGCCTTTACTGCAAGAAAAAAAAAAATCCTGAGTTCAATGAAATGTCAAAAAGGCACTCTGAGTTCTCTGAATCCTTCAAGGAAGTTATTAGAAGAGACATCAGTGCGAAGTTCAACACGCATTGGGTAGCGTAGCTCTGTGCCTCATCACTTTGTGCAGTTTACCAGTTCATGAGATAAGCATGCAGTCAAACTGCAATGTTTGAAAGCATTTCTGTTCTATTGAACAAAATAATTCAAGTCAGAAAGAACCAAGGAGTGTCATCTATTCCAGTTTCCGACTCAGAGGATGGTAAACGATGAATTTAGGCAGAACCACAGTCAAACAGAGCAGCCCAGGAGTCCTGCTGAAGCAGCTGCCCTCATCAGACCTGAGCTATGAATCTGACAGAACGTTTTTAAGAACATCAGCAAAAGAAAGCCTGAAAACAACAGATACTTTATTCAGTGGGAAGGCAGCCCTAATGAAAACGAAAAGGTTGAAATATTCAGTAATGTTTCAGCCTGGTCTCCTTTGTTATTGGGTGCCTCAGATCTCAGTCCAGTAGCAGCCTATGGGAGTTAAACTTCATATACAGTACAGACATTGAGTCAGGGATCCCTTAAGCCACTTAAGACACGTGCAGCTCCAGTGGCACCAAATGAAGGAGCGGACTGATCTCACAGGAGAGCCACACTGCCATTTCAAACAAAGGTCCTGGTGATGCAAAGAATTACATCAAGATCAGGAAGAAAGCTACTGTCAAGAAGAACAAGGAGGATCTAGACAAATACTCTTGGAACCTACATCCACACAAAGAACAAAAGAGCCATTCACCAGCAGCACGTTGTACGTTGTATTTGACCGGCTTGGCAGCTTGCTTTAAGGAGATGACTGACTTCAGAGGCAAGGGAAGAGCTGTGAACATTTTTTTATCTCAATTTAAACAAGAGCCATGACAGCCTTTCGGAAACTTTGTCAGAAATTGGAACACAGAAAATATAGATTAAAATCTTCTTCTTCGAGAGAGAGAGAAGACACCCGATCCCTTTGGACCTGCTTTGAGCAGAGAGTTGGACAAGATAACTTCCAGCCATCCCCTCTAAACTCAATTATTCTATGATTCTAACAAGCCTGTCTCCACACAGATTTCTCCAGGCTGAATAAGCCCTTTCCCTCAGCCTATCTTCCGAGGAGAGATTCTCCAGACCTCTGATGATCTCTGTGGCAGTCCCCTGGACCCTCTCCAAAAGCTCAACACTGGGGGCCCCAGACCTCCCTGTCCCTGCTGGCTCTCCCCTCTTCTGATGGAAGCCATGATACCATTGGTCTTCCTGGCTGCAAGCACAAACTGTTGGCTCATGTTCAGTTTTCCATCGACCAGGACACTCAGGTCCTTCTTTGCAGGGCTACTCCCAAGGAGTTAGTCTCCCAGTTTGTGTACATACCTGGGATTACCTCGACCCACGTGCAAAATCTTGCACTTTGCTTTGTTGAACCTCACCGGGTTCAAAAGCCCCACAGCGACTTGTACAATTTAAACAAGTAATCACAGAAATAGTACCAAAACGCATAGGTTTAATAATTGCATTTGCTACTGAGTAATCCAATAAACTGGAGAATTTTGAAAAAGCAAGCATTATTCCTCCATTCAAAACACTGTGTAATAGATAGCAATTTCTATGCCACAGAAGTAAACTAACAGGAATGTTAAAAACACCTTAGAAAGAATAGAAAATTCTCGATGAGCTACAACTTATACGTGAAAGTAGGAAAACTAGGTACATACAAGTCTTGTTACTTCTGAAGGTCAATCGTGTTTCCATCCCACAAAATCCACAATACATTTGACAGCATGGGAAAAGGTCAACTTTAAAACTACTGCTCATGTAGTGCATTGTTTCACTTTACCACCTGTTTTCCCCAACACGGTTGGCCTGAGAAAAAATGCTTAGTCTCTTCAGTATGATGCATGACTATTCAGCCATTTTTAGCTTTGAACCAACTTAATTGTTTATACTAGCAAACAGTTTCCAACAGAACTGTTCGTAACACAGACTCAGCAGAGGACCTCACTGCCTTTATTGAACTAAAACAGGATTCTGGACTAGGTGCAGCATCTACGCCAATAAAAAGCTGATCTAAAGTTGGACTTACAAACTTTCAGATAGGAATAAACACTACCTGGCACTAAGGGCTCATCAAAATTACAACAATATAACATATTTCTAAAGGTGTTATTATCAATTTAAACCATATGGAAAGTGATCAACTGAACAGCCTATGAGGAAAGACTGAAAGCTACACTGAATTTAATTTTTGGCTTCTCAGTCTATTTAATTATGGAGGAGAAAAGTCTGGTACACCCCAGGCAACATAAGGCATTAGGCCTATGTATGAGTTTTTGAGGAAAAATAATAATAATAAAAAAGAACCAAATGCAAATTGCCAGCACAACCACTCTTTAAAACTCCATGTATGCAAACTACTAATGAGATCTATGCAGTTGAGTGCTTCTGTGTTTAAAAACAAAAGCAATGCTAACAAAAGCTGTACCAACTACCATTTCTGGATTACTCTTGCTGTGCTGATACAGTTTCTATTTTGTTACTGGTTCATGGTCTACAAACAGGCCAGTCTGAGGACAAAGTGTTACTTAGTTCAATACTACAAGAAACAAAATGTAAAAACATTCAGATCAAAGGGTCAGCCCATCACCCGTGGAAAACAGGTCTGTTCTGAGAAAAAGTCATCTTCACAAAAGGAGAAAAAAAAAAAAAGGTGAGATTGACAGTGCTGGATGAGGGACATTAAGACTATCAGAGGGTTGAAGCATCTCTCCTATGAAGAAAGGTTGAGTGAACTGGGCTTGTTTAGCTTGGAGAAGAGAAGGCTCTGGGGAGACCCATTGTGGTATCCCAGCCTTTGAAGAGAGCATACAAACAGGAGGGGGTACAGCTGTTCATGAGGGTGGATAGTCATAGGACAAGGGGGAATGGTTTTAAACTGAGACAGGGGAGGTTTAGGAGGAAGTTTTTCACACAAAGGGTGGTGACGCACTGGAACAGGTTGCCCAAGGAG